TCAAGTTTTATATTTAATAACTCAATAAGTTAAATGCCATTTCGTATACGCGCGGAGAAAAAAATAATATACCTAACGTTCATCGAGATATCGCGATACACCGTTATTTCCGGTGCGCATCGAAGTAAAGAGAAACCGCTCAACTCGAAGCCGATAAATACGAAAGGAGTTGGCGCGCGCGACATATTCGTGTCGCTTGCGACCTACTTACCAAAGAGTACATGTCGCCCGTTTGCGAGAGCGCCGTGACGGTGTCCCATCCGAAGTGTTTGATCAATGCTATCCTCGCCGGATTGTGACTCGAATCCGGCGCGACGGTTCGCAGGAACAAGGGAAACTCGTTGGAATCCGAGAGGGCCGGTGCCGTCGAGCCGAACGATACTTGAATCACGTTCCAATAGGGCACAATCTTGGCCAGTGTCTCGGTAACCTCGGAACAAGCGGTGCCGAGAAGAAACGGCATCAGATGCTTCTTCTTCGGCGCGTAAAGGGCGTGAAAGAATCTGTCCACGGCCACTCCGGAATCGCACTAGAACCAGAGAAGAATTTCGATCGAGAGTCTCCTCTACTTCATTATTTGATAACTTATTATTAATTTTTAACAAAGTTATTTTTAGTGTCATGTGTTACGATCACAGAAAGAGTTAACATAAGAGTTTTTTGAATTGCGTAAAACTTGCAAAACTTTTGTCGTTGTTTGTACGAAATTCAGAGCAGCGATGGAGCAACGAAAGAAACGTCGAAGAAAATATCGATTGAACATCGCGCGTTTTTTTTTTTTTTTTTTTTTAAAGCGAAATGAGCGATTACAAACGGCGTCATTACCGCTGGGGAAAAAAGCACAGGACGTGTCACGTGTTCTTCGAGCTGTGAACGATGCTGTGAACCGCCGAGATGAGTGAGAGGGAAAACCGGTGCGCCTTAACGAGCAATTATTCAACGCGAATGGAGAACTAGAGACAAAAAAAAAAAAAAAAAAAAAGAACTCGAGAGTTCTCGCGAAGAAGATGTAGGGACAGCGAGTGGTGAGAAAGCAGCAACTTCACGATCCAACTTTTATGCGAGTGCTATCTACCCTCTCCTACCTCTTGTTAGGATTTCATTGGGTCTCGATAAGTGGATGCGCTCGGGAACTCGACCGATCAAACTTGACGGGGAAATTGGACCTTCGCGCATCCTCGTCTTTTCACGGATTTCGGTGATCTTGCCGAAAAAAAAAAAAAAAAAGAAAAAAGAAAAAAAAGAAAAAACTTACGCCATAGCTCGCAGACGGCACATCCAACTCGATTGGTTCAATTAAAGTTTCGGGAACGCTGTGTAGATGTGATCGTTGAAATATCGATATCGGATGGACTAAGTTGGTGACATGCGCGGCACTCGGAGAGGTCTTTAGAAACTGAGGTGGGAAACCTATTTTCATGGAGCACACGCTGAGCAAGTGTTCGTCTTTCTCCGCTGTAGCACGTTCCCAGCGCTCGATGTCTGACAATATTCTGGACGTAACTACTGGCTTAACGAACACGATGTGTCATGCATATCCATGATTTTCACGTAGCTTTTGTTTACCGGAAGATTGTCGACTCGCATGAATTCTCATTCTACACCACCTGTCGACAATGAGCGAATAACCCGGTGATATATATATATATATAGATCTTCTACGTGTTCGAGTAAATTAAAATAACAAAAATTTAACTGTTTTAACATTACGATCACAATTCTCGGGACCTGTTGCGTACGCGAAATAAAAGGTCGATATTATTAGCCGGGACGTTCGCGGAAACGCAATTGGAGATGTAATTCTGATTTCCCGCGTTTTCAGGCTCGATGAACGTTCGATTCTTTTCGAAAAATGTCGCAATTAATCGCTGATAATTCGAAACTCAATTAATTAAAAACGCGCGCGCAGTTTCGTCACGCGAGAGATATATATATATGACGTGAAATCATTTGCCCGATCACAACATCGACGATAACGTTCGGATTTAACTAAATTTGCGGAAAATTGTCACATGTGCGTGTCGTGCCGTTAACGATCGAGCGTGTTCGCACGAACACACTGTCCTTACATCGATCATAATTCATCTCCGATAATTAAGATGTCAGCCGTGCTTCATGCTGCAGTTGACACATATTCTGGTTTTCGCATCAGTTGTCAAATTAGCGATGTAGATATTGTTAGTCCGTAATGAATATCGTTAATTGCACCTCTACACAACGAGAGTAACACTCGTAACTAGGCCATATAACACCTTCCACGCTCACACATGTAATTTATACATAACAACGCAATTTCGTCCTCTTCACCTTATTAACCGATAAGAACGACGACCGCGGCAACTTGACATAAATAAGCACGTCAACGCGCGAAGATCTGATGTCGTTGAATAACATATGAGCTGATAGTTTTTTTTTTTTTTTTTTTTTTAATGTCATTCTTTTTTTTTGCATAAAGAGAAAAATAGAGTTCTCTTCTCTCTCTCTCTTTCTGTCTCTTTCTCTATCTCTTTCTTATTATTCTTTAATATATATTACAATTTTGCGGGTTGCACGCGGTCGGAATCTAAAAGTGTTTAAATTTGCTTCACCACACGTGTTATACACTGTAGCGGCGAAGAGAACAGATTGTGGTTTAAATCTCGTATTACATTTTTCATGGAGGTCATGACAGCTGTGCGGTTCAACATTGCGTAACGTGTAGTCCGCCGGGAAAGAGAGAAAGAGGAAGAAACATTGTTGACGCGCGAATCTGACAACCTGGATGGTACGGGGAGCCTCCCGTGATAAATTGCTATTATCTTGAGGTAGGAGAGATAGAGAGGACGAATGTGATGAGAAAAAGCGGTATCGACACGGTGACGAATGGAAATGGATTCTTGAAGCGTCCGCGCGCGAATTCTAGCATAAAATGCACGAACGCCGCCGCGCGCGACTCACGTACACGTCGGTGAGAAGACTAAGTTAAAAAAGATCTCCGTTGGCTTCGCTACGACGAGACTCGGTTGGATAATTTCCAACGTTATACCTTTTCCCAACCGACACGTCCGGGTATACGCACGCGGTCTGTAAACACAGTTTCCGCAACACGAGAGTCTCCATCTTGGAAAATCGACATTTTCACAAACCCCGGCGTCGTGTGTGCATCGTTGATGGAATTTAGGTCGTGAGGGAACACACACGACCTAAATTCTTTTACGATGCACACACGCGGCGGTGAATATATTTATCGCGACAATAAAAATGTATTTCAAACTGTACACAGACTTCCTCTGTGTGTGTGTGTGTGTGTGTGTGGGGAGGGGGAGGAAAGAGGCCTTGTTTCTCTTCGGAGGGGATGTCCCCGGAGATTCGGCACGTATAAACGCTCGGCAAATGTTTGCGATGTAAAATTTATTGTTATCAGAAAAAAGGTAGTGTGTAATCGGCGAAGACAGACGGAGGAAACGAAATTCCTTTTTTTTTAATAAGAGAAGAAAGAGATTAATATTGTTGTTCGCAGTTGTTGGTGCGTGGCGATGCTCATCCAAACTTCTAAGTTTCATTCTCATACCTTCGTAGTTTCGAAACAATAAATGTCGTGTTTTCGTTGTTTAATGGCACCCTCTGTCTCTCCTTGTTTTAACAGACAGCCCCCGTGGGAGATCGTATCTATCTGTATGTATCCGTTTTTCGTTTTTCGTGCTTTTAAAAATAAACCACGACTGATCGTTGCCCGGCTTTGCTGTTAAGAAGAGACAATAAAAATTGTCGCGACTGCGCGCGGCTGTAAATTGTTAATCGGCTTTAGAATATCTATATTGCTTATTAGTCTGCAATTTTCGCGATGCATTGTTCTCCCCCGGCTATTGTTCCCGCCGCGATTCGAAAAAAAAAAAAAAAAAAAAATTCTATTCTTCCTTCACAGGCAGCAAACCGAAACTTAATTTTTATTGTCGCTCAACGGGATCGTGAATACCGAGGAAACCTGTTTAAAAACTTTACAGTCCGATTTAATTCAAGTTTCACGTGCAAGACGCAGCGAAATCCCCGGCAAAAGTACTCGCAGTTTCTTTTCAACTCGTTAGAGAAACGAGTTTATCCCAACAACGCGCGCGGAAGAGAAAAATTTAAAAAAAATGCGAATTGCACGTAGAAGATACCGTGGGAAGCCTTGTCTTTGTGCGCTTTACTTTGTGTTCCTGTAGAAACAACATGTTTGAGGGAAAAAAAATAGCCCGGTGGCTTTGCGCGTATCTTCGCAAAACGTTCGCAACGTTTCGCAACGCGATGTGCGTTTTCTAATCCGCGCGTTAACATAACGTTAGCGTGGTTCGTCGTAAAACGAAGAGAGATTTTTACGCGCGCGCGTCTCTATCTCCGGTTACACCCTTCGATAGCTTTTTGTCAAGTGACACGCTGCGTGAAAAATCCGCGCCACATAAATCTCGACGAGAGCGCATTTTCTCTTAACTGCTCGTGAAAAAGTTTCAGAAGTGAGAGATAAAGAGAGACTTGTCTTTATCCTCCCATTCGCTGCGTCTGCCGAATAAGTTCTTTAGAAACGTCAGACACAATAAGCGCGTGGACGTCTAAGTCGTTTTGCGATCGGTCGGTGTATCGACATCGTGGAAAATAACAATCCTGATGCTCCGACAGTTTCGCGTCGATATCGAGCAATGCGTGCGAGCGGCCGCCTCGACGATATGTTGGCACGTCTAAGTTTGCTATCGACCGGAGGCTTTGAGAGTCGAACTGCTTTATGAATGGGGGTGTAACCGAGACAATAGCCCCGACTGGGGATGTTTTGTGTCGCGTATTCTAGTTATAGAGGGGAGCCGGACGTGGAAGACAATGATACATGGGAGTAGCGGGAGAAGACGACGAAGAATAGGGTCAGGATAGGGTGAGAATGGGCCGTGAATTTTCCGCGAGATCGATGCGCCGACCTAGTAGTAGGTAGGTAGGCAGGCAGGTCAGCGCCATGCAAAGAAACGAAGAGAACGAAGAGGTTGATATTCTCTCTCGTTTGTTCTTCGCGAAATACATATCTCGTTTCTCTTTCTCTTATCCGTTCCGTTTCGGAAAAAATCGCTGACGCGACCGAAGGGGCGTTCCATAGCCGGATGCGTCTCTGCAGCGCTCGTTCGTCATAAGCCAAAGCCGGGCCGATAAACCGCCGCTATCGGTTTTGGGCGGACTCTGTTCCGCGGTTGGACATTGTGGAAGAAACAATTGGGATAATGCAATCGTCCGCTGGATAACTGCCAATTCGATTGAAACACGCCGCATGTTATTTCGCGAGTCTCGCCACCGGTGCGAACGCGTGTACACACACACACACACACACACCCACATTCGCGGTTAACAAATTTGCATAAATTACAAGCTCGAACTTACAGTTGAGCGAGCAATGCGGCGTTGAAAAAGTGATAAAAGCTAATTATCCGGACGCAGCGAGTTTAAAGAGAACGGAAAATTGTTCGCGATAATAATCGCGCACCAATAATGGCGCAACAACGCGGGTCGGAATATAATAGAAACTAGGGTGAT